CAGGTTGCTTCATCTCAGGCAACTCAATGAACTTTAATTCGAGAAACTCATCAAAAATCTCAATCACATCAGAATCCAAGAAAGGGTATTCCTTTTCTTGCATATCCCTAAGTGTTGCCTTTTGATTCAAACACTCTTGGAAAGTCATTCACACTTTGCTTCTTACGTTACTTCGGAGTGAACTTCATAGGCGATAGATTGATATTCATGGATTCTTTGTTGTCATTCATGGGCACAAATTTGCTCCATCTTTTGGGTTCTTGCTTGACCTTATCTCTACGAGGATCGTGGGCAAACGACAGATCTTTTCCAATAGAGGACATGCTCAACTCTATATCATGAGTGCGAATAGTTAGAGCTTCGAAAAAAATTGGTTTATTCTTTGTAAGATGTAAAAAATCTCCCAATGTGTTCCTTTGGTACGCATTTCTATTGCAAAATCTTCACTAGGCCTATCATTGCAATTTAGGCTTGCATTTCTCCATCAATTTATAAAATCAATAATCAGTTGTCCTTCCTTTGGCGTATTTGTGAGTTCTACTGTGATCAGTGTGTTCCTTGTGCTATAAAAGCGATTGAGAAACTCGTGCTCTAGTTGCTCCTAACTATTGATAGAATTAGGCTCGATATTTGTGTACCAATGAAAGGAATTTCTTTTTAGATACCGGTCAAACTGTTTGACAAGATCATGTATCCATAAAGTGTGCAACATATTGTTTCAGATTTCCTTTACCCTCAAATTGTTGAAGCCTAGGAGCTTGATAATCGAAAGGCATTTTAAAGTTATCAATTCTTGTCGTGTATGACTTAGCATACATATGAGAAAACTTGGTAAAGATTTCATACTTATCTTTGATTGTCCCTTCAATTAACTTCTTCAAGATATTGAGCAGCATCATTCCTTCAAAAGAAACTGACATCTCATTGACAAGCATCGTTTGCTTAGCAGAATGTTTGATCTCTTGAACTTGAACACCCTTTCAAGCCGCATGACTAACTTCTCCATATAAAAGGCTTTACATCCTATCTATCGAATTATCAATTCGAGACTCCTGGTGTTATACATGCTTTGTCAATCCTTCAACCAACTTTGCCAAATTCGCAAGTTGTTCCTCAATGGAAGAAGCAATAGTTACCATTGCTTGCATGATCATTGGGATATAAAAGAGTAGCATGGATTGTCGCACAAATTAATCTTTAACAGAATCACATTACGTGATGCATGTGGAGAGGATTCAACTAGTTGAATCATAGTTCTCCTTTGTGGTTAAGTTCTTGGAACCAGATTGCTCAAGTAGCGCTAAGGTAATCTTGATCATTTCAGCAACACCGCTCCCTCCTCTTAAAGCATTTATGGAGGACTTTGATGATTTTGGAGTCGAAGACCCAAAAAAATGTGATGTGGATGAAACTTGAAGTTTTTGTTGTCCTATCATGGTGAACTTGCTCCTCATAACAGCTCCAAAACTTTCAAAAACTTCCAACGGTAACACCATGAATTTCTTCAACATTTGAGTTAGTGGCCTTAGAGGTAGTTGATTGAGACTTTGACCTTCTTGGAAGTTATCTCGATATTGTTTGATGCTTGAAAAGTTAAAATGAGAGGTAGAGATTGTCTCACGGGCGTGCCAGAATTTGTAGACAATAAAATTTGCATCGAAAAGACAATAATCAATAACGGAAAAGTATTACAACAATCGTATTATTGATTTAAATTACGAGTGTTACAATCTCTATGATTCGTCTTTTAAGATATTGATTCATGGACCCTTGAGCTTAATCTTGAATTTGTCTTGAATTTGATATTGGATTCAAGGGCCTTAAAGCTTATTCTTAAATCTTTGATAAAGTTGAACTTGAAATTTATCTTAATCTTTACTTTTACTTGAATTCAAGGGCTTAGAACTTGTTCTTGAATTCGATGATCTTGATCTTGATCGTTCTTGAACTTGAGTTCTTGAATTCTTAAACTTGTAACTTATAGATAAATCTGTGGCATTTTTTCCACGAGCTTTTTCTAGCTCCTTATTTAGAATTTCCAGTCCCTTTTGTAAATTATGATGACCCCTATTTATAGTTTTAGAATAAAGAAATTGTGATTGGATCAAGATTTCCTTCGACCAATCATATTTAAGTTATCTGACATATGAACTTCATGGAGAGCGCTCGTCATTTTTGACACGTATCATGATCTTATTGGCTTCTTGTTTGATTTGAAATGTCACGTCATTTTCCATGTGACACCAAAATGGTCTCTAGGATGAGATGAAATTGGACTTAGCAAACTGGGTTCATCTATTGTAGCTTAAACAATTAATTTGGACTTTAGTTTGATTCATATTTATTGGACTTAAAATAATTAACTCAATTATATTAATCCATAATTTATTTAGACTAATATATTCATGAATTTAATATACTTCAAATTATTTTATAAATTTATGTTTAATAAGTTTTAAATGATTACACTACCTTATTAAAATGAAATTTATGTAAGAAAATAGTTCAAAAAAAAAAGGTGTTTCTTTCACATGTTCATACTATATCTAAAAAAAATTCATTCAAATACTTCAACCTTTAAAAATTTATACTATTAAGTGTGGTGCAATGCACATGTTTGGGAGAATTTATAAATTAAAAATGGCGAAAGAGGGAAAAAAATTAGAAAGAAAAATTATTTTTAGGACTGATTATGACACTTGTCGAGCTTAGCCTAAAAAACCTTTTGTTGTTTGGGGTAGAACTTTTCTTTCTCTTGGAATATTATGGAATAGAAGGAGCACTACTGGGGGTGTCAAAAGAATATGAAAATTGACCAAACCTAACCTAACCAAACCGAATCGATTAATGTTATTTTTTCAATAAAATTATGGATTTTTATTTAAGCTTATAATCTCCAAGAACAATTGAGATGATCTTTTAAATTTAATAAAGATCGAAAAATTCTCAAACCGAAACAAATAACGTTACATGTATGTAATTGCATTTTATATATTAATAGTATGTTAAATTTAATATATAAATATATTTTATAATAATTTTTTAAATATAAATATTATCTAGGTCCTAGACCTCTAGTGACTAGATAACTTTAGATCTTCGCTCTTTCATTTACTTTTACTTAATTAGGTTTAAAATGAAAAAAACTATAATAGATATACTCTATCAAACAATACAACAAAACATATGAAAACAGTCCTATTAAATGCTTAAGATCAAACAATTCGGCGATAAGGTTTTACATTTTTGTCTTCTTGATGAAGAATTAAAGTGCTTTTTCAAAAATAAATTTTAAAAAAATATTTTAATAGTTGTATTTTGAGGTGATATTTTAAAAGTAAAAATAACCGAAAATTAACCGAATCGTACTGTCACAAAGAGCAATTCATATGATTTGGATGACTTTTGAAAAATCTAATTTTAGTTATATATTATAAAATAACCAAAAAATTGAGATGATATAATTTTAAAAAAATAGCCAATCGAACCTAACCCCTAATTATTACTAAGCAATTATTTAGTAATTACAAATATAATACAAAAAAATTGCAAAATCCTCACAATCTTGGAGTAATAAAAGTATGTGAGGAGACCATTGAAACTTCAAGAACCATTTTTTCAGGTCAGTTTCTTCTCCCTTAAAGATGTAAAATTTCATGTGTGCATTCATCAAATCTGAGTTCTATAAATTTATTCAATTTATTTTGGCCATTCTTTTGTATGTGAAAGATTCATTATCTGCAAAATGTAGACTTCGATGTAGTTCTTAATGAATAGTGTTGAAATATTCCTAGTTTTTGTCTTCATTGCTCTCTTTGCTGCTTTCTGAGGATTTCTTTTATGTACAAATTGGGTGACTAGAATTATATCTCATATTATTTTTGTCGTTCACATTTCCATTTTGAAAAAAACTATGAGTTATAGTTACTAGTTTCTGTTCCTTTTTTTCTTTTCAAGAGTCAGCTAATGATCTTTATCTATTTTGTTGACTAGGGATATGTTGGGATTTAGATTACTTTGTGGTGTAGTTTCTAAAGTATAAGTTTTTTTTTTAAAAAAAAGAAAGAGTTAATCTAAAATTGATCAATATTACCATCCAAAAGAAAAGGGTACTGAATTTAGATAGGAGAAGTGTCTTGGATACCAATGAGTAATTTGTTCGGTGTGATGATACAGCTTACTTCTCCTGAATCAATAGCGAATTTTAAGTTGTTTTGAAGCATCAATTTTTTAGCTATTGAGCATTCAAGATAGACCTGAGTGTAACAAGCTTCTATTCCATGTGTTTTCTTTAGCTTTAAAAGAAACAATATCTCATCTAGTTTGATGTATTCAAGATCATATACTGGTCAGTTTTATTTGCATTGACATGATGTCATCCCTAAAAGCCACATTTCCAAATGTTAAACCCAAAAAAATTGCATAAAAATTCCCAGTTAATTAACACAATTCAAAATCAAAATTTATGCTTTTGTAGTTGAAAAGTCTACTTCTCTTTAGCCTGTCACTTTGAAATTCCCAGTTTATTCACGAAATTCCAAGCTTATTATCTGAAGTTGTTTCCATTTTTCATTCCGAGAGTTTCACTAGTCAATTACAAAGAATTTTTCATCACATGACTCGTTATTCTGGTGAATGATTATTCTGTTGAATGTGGTTAGGCAGAGCGTTTTCCCCCTGATATATCGTTACTGGCTGTTGTATGTACCTATGTTTATGGTGTAGAGTTCCCCTGAATTGTTGTTCTGTTGAATCTGGTGCTGGGAAGAGCTTACTAGCTGAGAGGCATGTAAAAAAAGAAGTGGAGACAGTATTGGTAGCAAAAAGGAGAGAACAAAATCTTCAGTACAGTAATGACCATTGAATCAAGAACAGTTTTTTAGGCTGCTAGCTATATTCTACAACATTTCTGGTCAACTGAAGAATATTAAAATGCAACTAAAATGGGCTTCCTACATCCTTTGGTACGGTGCAATATATGTCAAAAATAGTCAGCTTCATTGCTGTATAGTAGATGCATATAAGCTTTAACACGAGGCAGCAAAATACATTGAAATACACCAGCAAAATACATTAAAATTGTTTACAAAGCAAAATGTTAAAAATCTGCAGCAACGGAACTGACTTTACACTTCTATATAACCAAAGATACCATCAAAAATGAAACACCAACTTCACATCAACAACCATCACTTAAAACACTACCCACTGGCTGCAACTCATTAGGAGCTATTCCAGCCTGCACATAACAAAATGACTACTACTTGATCTGTAAAGCCATCTTGTAACATCAATTGACAGCAAAATAGAATAAGAGTAGCATCAAATATGACCATGTTTGATGTCCACAATGTAAGATGAGATAAAGGTATCATCTCGTCCTGTCTCTGCCTCTTAACATTGTTGTGGAGGTGTCTCAGACAGAATCTATGGCTGACAGATGACATAACCGTACTAAATTCTTCAGTTAGACATTAAGGTCCATCCGCTCGATCATCAATATCTAAGTCAAAAACTTAAAATTGTCTTTAGGACCACTATTCTGTATCAATAAAATAAAAACAGAATTTAAAATTCTGTCAAGATATGAAGAAAAGATCAGTGTAGCTATAAAGAAAAATTAGCATAAACAAAATTACAACATAAAAGAAAAAGCAAAACAACCAAGCACAATCTCAGGAGAGTGAGGGAGTTCAGACAGAAGATAACATTTTTGGTAATCAATATTGACAGAAAATAGTGCATAGCAGTCAAAAGTATATAGTAGAACAATATAAAATCATACAATGTGAAATGTAAAAGGAAAATAGATTCTTACCATAACAAAGAGTTGATTATACTCCACTATTCCTCTAATGAACATCACTATCTAATGTTAGGATTTTGGATTGATTTTGGGTCCAAATGATTGGCTGAGATGATATCTCCACCAGGTGGTGAAAATGAACTGTTTCTTTGTTTTGACTGTTAGCATATCACGTGAAATACTCCTGAGTATTTCTGACGATTTTAATTTTTAACAGAAAGCTTGGAGAGGTCTGTTAGTTTTCAGGTTTGGACTAAAAATATTTTTACTTTTTGCAAATGTTATGGGGCTATTAATGTTATGTGGTATATATCTAGGATCAAATTTGATTTTTTCTCCTTTGTGAACAGCGGGTGACAGACTTGCTCAATCAGTTGTCAGTTTTCTTTTGTCCGCCCTTGCAACCTGCTTTGCCGTCTGATCATATTAGCTATGCGCTCTCTCAATATCTTACCTAATTACTATAATATTTGCTCAACAAAATTCTGTTAGCGTTGATTTAAGTGCCTTTTAGCAATTATATTTAGTTGTTAACACACTTGATAGATGCCATCAAATGTTTCGAGACATGATCCATATGTTGTTATCACGCATTGATCACCTGTTGTAGTATTATATATTCTTATTAGTTTATATATCTTTGGTAAAAGTGCAAGTATGATATCTCATAACGGGTTAATGGTTTACCCAATAAGAAAATTAAGTGATCCCCCCCCCCCAATAAGCCGTTAATTATAAAATATTAATCCATTCACCAACTGTATATCCAACCTTATTACCAATAAGCCAATTTTGTGGTTGGCTTATCGGTTACGGTTCAGTTTTGAACACTCCTGCCGGTAAGGAGGTGTGAGAGGTTGGATATAGTGGGGTCGAGGAGAGGTAGAGGCAGGTTAAAAAAATATTGGGGAGAGGCAATTAGGCAAGATATGACGCATCTTCAGCTAATCGAGGACATGACCTTAGATAAGAGGATATGGCGGTCGTAGAAAAGATAGAAGGCTAGTAGGTAGTTGAGAGTTGTCATATTACTTATCTATTCATGTCTTTGGTTGGGTGGGAGTTTATAGCTCCATGTCGGTCGTAGTATTAGCATATTCATGTTGTCTTTGGTTTTTTCTATGTGATATCATATGTGGTTTACTCTGTTTTAGTGACTTCGTCTTGCTGTTATAGTTATGGTTCCTTGCATATATGCTCCACACTTTTTCCTATTAGTTGTCATGCTTTTCGTTTAATTACTACTTTGATTTGCTTGAGCCGAGGGTCATTCGGAAACACCCTCTCTACCTCATAGAAGTAGTGGTAAGGCTTGCATACACTCTATCTTCTCAGGCCCCACTTTGTGGGATTCCACTAGGTTTGTTGTTGTTTTTAACTTATTCTTATATTACTAGCTCTTCTAAAACCCAAACCAAACTACTCTTTAGATTCTGAACAGACATAAGATATCATATGTTTATATTTATGTTGTACTCATTCTAGAATTTAATCATGTAGTGAAATACTCTGGATATCTCCATGATTTGTTGGTCAATGTTGCTTTCCAGCTTCTTGGATTTTAGTTGCTTGTTTGTGAATTGTCAGTTTTAAAAGGTTTCTTTGTTGACTAGCTAGCATAAGCTGACTAGTCTAGTTATTAGAATGTATTAGCAATTAGCAATTCCTCTGTTTGACCAGTTCCTTTATTTGATGAGTAGCAGGACTATTTCGCGGTATCTCTCCTCTCTCGAGTATCACAATAGTGGTAGAATAGAATTAAGAAGGAAGGATGCTCTCAGGTTCTTCTTTACTTATATTTTTCTTCATCCATCTTTACACATGCACCTTTTCTTATAGGCCAGAGCACCAAGAGTGTATCAGTTAATAGACAACTTCAATTGAATGTTTATGTATTTTCTGGTTCTTTTTACAGAATAGAGAACTTTCTGCATAAGCTTTTTCTCTAAGTCAGCTTCACATTTAGTTCCTTGCATTCCCCTGCTTTCCTTTCTGTAGCAAACTAGACATTGTCTTCATTGTGTTATCTGCCATTAGTCTTATTACAACTAACAATACAAGTGTCGTCTCATCCAGAGACTAATAGATTTCAGTTTATAGAGATGTGGTGTGTTCCTCAGTGCAACATGCACCAGAAAAACAGTGGGCAATAGATCTTTGGATTTCTATCAAAATGCAATCATCACCCTGAAGGCTCTTCCTATTTTTATACAAACAAAGAAACAATCGTAAGCCCCAGTAGACGTGCCAGTATGATGTTTGCTTTTTTTAAGAGCTGTTATTCAGCAGCTAAAATTTGTTCAATAATCTCAGAGATCTACTTCTTTCAATTTCCAAGGTCCTGCTTGTTTAATGATTTGTTTGAGTGGCATAAGAGCACATAACATTGTGTTAGATCATGTCACTATTTACTCAAGTCTTAGCCATAGTTCTGTGTTTTTCAGTGTTCAACATGGGAGCTCAGCTTCAACCAAGAGTAATAGGCCTTCCCAGAAGTCAAGGTAAGTGAAAGTTTGGATTATATGGACATTCTTTGCATTATAGTATCCCCACCCTAAAAGATAATTGTAAGAAAAAAACAAGAAGAAAGAGAGCAACAGTTTTTAAGAAATAATTTGTAGCTTCAGAAGATAATAAGTTGGGAATTTTGAGAACTTGGGGTTCTCTTAAGAAAACACGTGATCTAAAGACCAATGAGAACACAATTATTACTTATTCTATTTGTTCTTTTAATTTTTTCACACAAGAAAAAAAGAGAAGTCAACCAGGACTGGGATAGGAAGCTTACACCTGACAATTCTAGAGTTAAGCTTTGGATTTTGATTGCTTGCTTAGCCACTGCATTTTTCTCGAGTTCTTTTTAATCTTACAGAGAAAAGTTTTCCTTTTTAACCTTCTCTTATTCTAATTCTTATCAACAATAAGTGGAATGATGCAAATTTGCAATTGATCGGCGTTTTAGAAGTAATGATTTTTCCTTGAGATTCTTTTAAAACATGTTCACAGATCTGGTGGTTAAAGTAGAATATATTAGAACTGATACATCCAAATCTTATTCTTACAGGTGTATTGGATGTAGAAGTATATTCTATAAATAGAGCACAACTGAGGACTTCCACCAGCAACAGATTTATGTGCACATTAAATCAGTCAACAGGAGTCTCGGCTCAAGCAGCACAAACAGAAAGTAGGACTTTAGTCAAAATGTGTGGAATTACATCAGCTAGAGATGCTGCTCTTGCAGCAGAAGCTGGAGCCAATTTTATTGGTATGATCATATGGCCCAACTCAAAGCGCTCTGTTTCACTTTCTACTGCAAAGGAAATCTCAAAGGTTGCGCGGGAATATGGAGCTCTTCCAGTTGGGGTGTTTGTAGATGATAATGCTAACACAATACTAAGGGCCTCTGATGCAGCAAACCTTGAATTGGTGCAGGTGAAGACTGTTATCTTTCACCATCTTGTATCTATTGTTTTCAATACTCAAAATCCACAACATGTTCAAATTGAGCAGCTTCATGGAAATGATTCTCGAGATGCTTTTCCAGTTTTAGTCAGAGAGAGACCTTTAGTATACGTACTTCATGCAGATGAAGAGGGAGGCCTTTTGAACTCTATCTCTAATGAGGAGTCTTCTCTAGTTGACTGGATTCTAGTGGATAGCGCGAAAGGTGGCAGGTACAGTTTTTACCTTATAGATATACCTACCATTGGCATGGCTGGTATGCTATCATACAGAGTCTCTTTTGGACTAAGCTTAATCCCACCCCATATGGAGCTAATATAATGCAATTCCATTTGAGTTAGTATTATCAAACTCTTTTTTGGATTCGTTCATGCCGAAGCAGACTTTTTTTTAAAAAAAAAACTTAAGCACGACCAAGCAACTGAGTCTAATGTGACAGGAATCAAATCACTAACAGTTGCATTGTAATGAGAGAAGAAAAGCACTACTATTAGCAATGAGGACACTGACCATTTTAGAGGAGATGAATTCATGATAGCTATGGTTGAGCAAGTGTTGGACTGTAAATTATGAAATAAAATTTGTATTCACATACTTCTGCAGTGGCAAAGGGTTCAACTGGGCTCAGTTTAAGCTACCATCAATTAGAAGCAAACAGGGGTGGCTCTTGGCCGGAGGAATCAACCCAGAGAATGTTTGTGAAGCTCTTTCAGCTCTTAAACCCAATGGAGTGGATGTCAGTAGTGGCATATGTGGACAAGACGGCATCAAAAAGGACGAATCCCGGATACAATCATTCATGAACGCAGTGAAATCTTTACACCTTTAGTTGATATTGAATAGCTACACTATTGAGGCAAGTTTCCTATTGCAGATTGTTAAATCAACTGCAATTGTTGGTGTAGATACCGTTTGTAATTGCTCTGCTGATTAGTGTAGGCTAAGACTAATATCTCTTTCATGATACATCAGTTTTGTACTCTTATAAAAACATCAATTTCTTTGTAAGAGTGCTACTTCCTTGAACAACTAATAGAAAATATTTTCAAAACATTTTCCTTGCTGATATCGACTAAATTCTTTAAAAGGAACCCAATTAGGTAGATATGTGTCTTCTCATAATATTTTAGTAGAGGAATCCAAGTAGAATCGAAATTCTCTTAAGACCATAGCTTTCGTATGTACCAATCTAGACCACTAACATATCATAGTGTATTTCTTGCCAATTTAGAATTGTTTGGGTCATAAAAATATAATTACTATACTAAATCCTTGTTTGATATCTCATGGACACATCAAATTACTACGTCAACTTCCTTACAGAAGTGAAACACATGACTTGTTTGACAAAGAGTGGATATTGACTACAATGATAACAACCACATGTAATAGACTCTTCAACGTGTAAAATGTTTAAGTTGATTATTATTGAATGTGATGGTTGTTTCTTTCCTCTATAACGTGTCAAAAATAACTTTTACCTTCATAACTAATGTTAACGGATCCACGCACAGCAGAAAAAACAACAGAAGATGAAGATGGTGGGAACTGAAGTATATTTTTTATAAATAAAACATTTCAGAATCCAGAATACAAATAATATACTTTCTTGGCCAACCCAACAAAAGGTCCTGAAGACAATAATTGAAACTATATGCCTTCCCCCATCTTCTAACTTTACTCTGTGCTCAACTAGTAGTAACCAACTTGAATGGCCATAGATAGTGTTAGTGAAAAAATAATCAGCTAACAGGGTTTTGCTATTTCTTAGACCCATAAAGGTTGGGATCAGTTTCATAATATACTACATTCCCTGTGTCACTCACAAAGTGATCCTCCTTCATGCTTCTTATCAGATATCCCAACAAGTAAAATGGTAGAGGCCCTGACTTCTTTGGCTCCTTATAATATTTCCCTAACACTGGTTTAGCAGCTTCAGTCTGCAAAACAATCCATGTTGTTATTAAGACACCAATAGAAACAAACTATTGAAAGCAACTTAAAATGTATGTCATACTTACTGCTTCTACCAAATGATAGTGTGGGATTTGAGGGAAGAGATGATGTATCACATGAGTCCCTATGTCATGGTGGATGTTGTTAATCCATCCATAGTCACGATCAAGTGTTGTAAGCCCTCCTCTCAGATAACTCCATTCCTGTTTCATACATAACATATCACCTCCCAACTTTTTTATGTCTTCATAAAAAAAAAAAAGAGTAACTAACAACTAAATGCTTATATCCCAAGGCAAGTGATTTATACAAGACATGATTAGACATATCTAAAATACACAAAACACATTAAACATATTTCATTTGGCATTCTAGCTTAGTAGGAGATACTACCTCTCCTCTGTACCAAGGAACTTTATCTTCATGGCCATGGTGATGCAAATAGGTAACTAAATCCAGCCATATGACAAAGCCCTACATGTTGAATTGAATTCAGTTAATAAAATGAGTCAAGTAACAACAAAACAAGGCAAGGTTGGAAATTGGACTAACCCAATAGGGGATGCCATAAAGCTTAAGCATTTGAAGAGGACCCATGACAAAGGACAATCCTACAAGCAATGCAGCCATTGCCGTCCAGCAGACAGTTGAAGTGATCACATCTTTCTTCTCACTTGCCACAAACAAATCACTGTTTGGATCAAAGTGAGAACCTTTCTTTCCCGGACTTCTACCCCACTGTGGTAGTGATTATTATGAGTTATACAAGTTACATCAAATTTTGTTATTGTCATTGGATATAGACTAGTAACAACTCACCAGATAGAAAGGATATGCCAGCAAGGGAAAGGGTAGAGTGAACCTAAATTTCTTTGTGATATCATCCAAACTATTGTAAAGCTTCTCAGATAACTGGGGAAAAAATAAAAAGGTAATTTAGAGGCGAAAAATAGTTTGTTTGACAAGTGGAATGAATATACATCAAACAAACTTACAGGATGCCATGATTCATCATTCTCAACATGTCCATGGTTCTGATGATGAGTTCTGTGGCTTATTCTCCTGAAATATATGATCAATCAATCAAAACTAAAATACGATTTTGAATAAATAAAATTCCTTCAAAACAAAACGAACCATCCATGATAAGGAACAAGAATCGAAGAATGAAGAATATGTCCAGCAACGCTATTCAAGCTATGGTTATTTGAAAAGCTTCCATGTCCACAATCATGACCTAGAACAAAGAGAGCCCAAAACATTGTACTCTGAGCAAACCAATAAAGAGGCCAAACAAGCCAATTGTTGAAATAAGCAGCAGCAGCCGCCAGCCCAAACACAATAGCTACATCTCTAACAACATAACTCATGGACGTCCATGGATTTTTGACCCAACAATGCTTAGGAATAGCTGCCTTAATATCAGAAAGCTTAAAAGGGGGTGGTGCCCCTGGGTCAAAAAACTCATCCCCATTGTTTGTTGTTTGTTCCTCTTCTTCTCCGGCAATTTGGATCCTAAGCGGTGCACTTACCCTCAATGCCCAACAATTCCGATCTGTTCGTATAGGTGAAGGTGAAATTCTTCTCAAATTCAAACTGGTGGCGGAAACAGAAACGGAAGAAGAAAAACCTATTGTAGGCTTTGGGTATATTTTTGGTAGTGGTCTTAAACCACATTCTGATAGAACCCAACTTGCCATTTTAGTTAGGGAGAAGAAGAGAGATGAGATGTTGGGTTAGGTGAAGTGTGAATGTAGATAGATATAAAGAGTTTTGAAATTGAAATTATACTATATATTTTCTCTTTTAAAAGGGTAAGAAGATGTGTGTCTCTCCTTATTCCACAGAGGGAGGCACAGAAATCTCAACTTGTGTTTCTTGTTGATTGCCTTGTTACTCTTATCTCTTCATACTTGCAAATTGTCGTTGTTGTTTGTTATAGTTATATTAGCAGTAGTGATACTAATATTTTAGGTTCACCTCCACCTACATCTCTCATTCTTCCTTTTTTTCTTATTCACATCTCCGCCCAATATATTATTTTTTTTATTAAAAAAAAAAAGTAAGAACGTGATTTTTATGCAAATACAACAATACACTTTTTTCTCTTCCGCTATTTAATTAGGGTAACTTTCACCTATAGCAAATAAAAAATTCATATTTATATGCTATAACAAACTTTGCATAATTGCGCTCCATAGCAAACATAAAACTGTACAATTTGCTATACATATACAATTGTATAATTCGCTGTCCTATTTCGCT